GTGTGCCTTGGTCAGTCTCAGTTTGTGCTATATATATATTATAATATAAAAAAAATTAAATAATACATTTTTTTAGGGGGCAGGGCGCGGGGTGCAGGGCTCCGTTGGCGGGGCGCAGGGCTCCGTTGGCGGGGCGCAGCGCCCCTCCAAGACAATGGTAGGGGAAACACTGAAAGCACTTAGAATGGTTTGGCTTATTTGAAGCAAATGTACGGCATTGCATTTCTGTTGTTGTTGTTGTTCATGGTTTATCGCACTTATTGTAAGTCGCTTAGGATCAAAACATCAGCTAAATGAAATGTACTGTACTGTAGTGGCCAAATTGTATATTTTTCCTCACTTTGTGTATCCCTAGAACCTTGTGGAGAAAAGACTGATATTGGTTAAAATAAACATATCAACGCCCCAACTCACCAGTAATTGAGGGATGGGTGCTCCTGTAACACTCTGGTGGGCAGAACTGGGAACTGCTTCAGGTGAGATCTGGCAGCCTCAGTACTGGAAAACAAAACATACACAACTTGAATACAGAATGTATTCATTCATAACAACAAGGGTCGTTTATAGTTACACATCTATGCTTTAGATATGAGAGAGAGCAAAGCACCAACATGACACTGTTGATTGATGAGAGACAAGTTATCACTGTCCAAAGACTAACTCCTACAAATCCTTTACACAAAGTCAGTTGTTATGTCCTGAAACACAGAAACAAAGATGAACCAAAACGTAAAGCACTACGACATTGTTTCACTGCCGGTTGCTCCATACTAACAAGTGGACCTTAAGGAAAGGGAGATATATTAACACAAGTGTATCAACCTCAAAGTCTGAAGCTGTACAAAGAACCTTTCTCCATGTGTTTGTACTTTCACAGTGTGGTTTGAATTTCTATCTTAAGGCATTGCAGCAATAACTCATGTTGGCAAACCTTTAGAAAAGGTGCAGTGGCAGGATTATATTTTCATCTTTCTTATCTATAAAAATGTGTACTGCTTGCCAAAACTAAGCTTGAGTTTCATTCATGTCTTGCCAGATTTCATTTACAAAGCTCACGTAGATCCTTTAAGCAGTACAGAGCCCTTTAAGGGACTTGGCTAAACATGTTTTAAAAAACACCAAAAGCCCATTTCAGGCAGGTTCAACAGTCATGCACACTGCAGGTAAACTACTTCATATTGATTGACTTTCACAGATAAGCTAATGATCCCACGACAGAAGTAACAGGTTTGTTTAACCAACAACACAAACATGTTAATAAAAAGGCTTCAAGTTAAAAAGAAAAAACAAACCGGCCGTGTTATCTGTACGGACAAACTGTGGTGTTTGTTACTGTCAAGGTCTATGATAGTGAACTATGAGTCACTCCAACATCATGTGGGAGGGAGGACTAGGTCTACAGTTTCTCTGGACAAAAAAGGGCTCTGGCTTTGAGGGCCAGTCCACTAGAGAACTGAACAAAAGCCATTCACAAGCACTTGGCAGCCTCTCCCCGTGTTGAAAAGCATTGTACGAGCACCGGTGCTGCTGCAAAACAGCCCGTGGCCTCTGAGACAGAAGTCCAAATGAGTAGGTCAACGATCAATGATATACAATATTAGAACATCCCCAAGTATTGTGTCAGCTAGAACAATAGAGTGGGGCGGGGATGACAGATTTTCGTAGAGCAACCTGGAAGTTAGCATCGCAAAGGGCTCCCTCTACACAAATAATTGAGATTTTTCCATTGGATTTTGGTTTCTTAAGCAAAAAACACAAGATCTTTGGGATACTTGCATGTTTTGTTCAGCAGGGTTTTCTCCACAATTTAACACCACTATAACTGTTGAAGACCAAATGCAATCGCAAAAGTTAGAAAGCTAACAATAGCCTAAAAACAAACCACATTAGTCGTACTGTATGGCAGCACATCACCACCGATAGGCTAAAGGTGGACACTGCTTGGCGTTAAGTAGTATCATTGGCCACTTGTTAGTAACTGCTGTCAGTATTAACTTATATATTTTATGTTGTCGAACAATTTCAAATGAATGCTTCAGCTTGTACTAAACAGTCTATATCACGAAAATCGTAAAAAACTGTTGAATTAAAGTGTGTTAAAATGCTAACTCATTTCCAGGTGTACTGACTCAGTCCTGCACCACTCTATAAAGCCAACATAACAATCAGTTGATTCTAGGTCAATGGCCATTTGACCTTGAACATCCATTTCTGCCTCCTTCTTTAACAGATGATTGGAGTTTAACAGCCGCTGACATGGGGGGACATGGCCATGATGATCCAGTTATGTGAACGAGCTTACTAAACAAAAACACGGGCAGAGGCACTTGAATCACTCTTCCCTGTAGCTACCTCTCCTAGGTTGACTGAGTTTTGCTGCCACGGCACTTCGCTGTGTGTTTGATGGCATACATTTTACGGGGAGCTGGGGCCTGGTGTTGTCGGGGTGATCTACTCCACAGCCGCGCTGCCCCGTCAGCAATCTGGAATTCATTACTACGTCTGTTATCTCTCCACAGCCTGCAGCGCGGGGGCAATTCCTACACCCGGTGCAGCCCAGCCCAGCGTACCCAGCGTGGGGAGAGATAATACTCATGTGTCAGCTATTCCACTACGCTGAGACGTGGTGACTGTGTGGAGGGAACACAATGAGAGGGCCTGTTGCTGTGAATGAACCACTAACTACAGGCTACACCTGCAAATAGAACTAAGGACTAAAACCGTCTGGGTGTAATATTCTTTCCGTGGGTAAGATTCAAACACAAATGATTGTGTTAATCAAAGTTGTATGGCAGTTATTTATACAATATGTTATTTTCTGCCGGGAGGGATCTCTTAATCAAAACCATAACAAAAGACGGGGTTTGCTGCTATTGGGAAATAGCGTGGGATCATGGGAGTTTGACATTGAAGTCAAGATATCCCAGTTGTTGTATCATCCGTTGTTGGGGTTTTTTTTGCCAGGTTATTTTACCATAACAAACGGTCCAGGTCATACTGTTAAAAACAGTTACTTATACACTCAAATATTTACACTTAACTATTGTATTGTAAAAATGTGGCTTAATACTGGATGAAAGGGTGACAACAAAAACAACACAGAAAAGGACTTTTGACCTTGATTAAAATGACAGAATTCGCTGGGTTTGAAAATGATTAAATACATTTGGGACAATGTGAGTAATCAACATGTATTACATGCCTTTAAAGCTAAGTTTGGTCATATATTTTAGAAACACTTTTTGTTATAATTTGTTGAAATACTAATGCAGACAGCAATAAATAAATCAAATAACTTTGAAAAAATGTTGGGGGAAAAAAGACAAAAACCTGGTATCACTGCAGTCATATGTAAGAGGGCTGACCTGCCTGTGTGCTAAGCGGTACTTACAGTAGCCATGGTCATTGTTTGCATTCATTATGGTTATTTTTGGGGAGTGGCCTTAGAGGGAGGCCTAAAGAGACGGGCACTCAGTGGTGCCAACTTGGTGACATTCTCGCAAGATTAAGCGCCTTATGGAAATAGTAATGCCAACTACTTTCGTTTAAAAAAAAAAAAAAGAGTGAGCAACAGGGCGCTGCGTTTCCGATTTGAAAAATTTAAAAAAATCTATCTTACTGTTTTTAGCTTCTTCAATGTTACCTTCCCAAGCTGTAATATACAGTGGCGTAGAAACTGTCTGTATCTCTTAAACTGCTAAAGACATAGTTAAGGACATGGATCTATAGAGTGATTTCCTACCGTTTTCTACAACCCCTTTAACCAACCTCTCGAGAGCAGTTTGAACTTGTTGCAGTCAGCTATGGGTTAAACCTCCAGGTGGTGTGAATCAGTACGGTAAGAACAGAATGCAATGCAAAACTGACATAGCAAAAGAAAAAACTGAGACAAGTGCAATTGGAAACCCGATGGTGCATTAATTCAATGCACAGCAGGGGGTTGGTCCACACCGCCTCGACAACAGTGAGTCCTCCTGACGCCAGGTTGTCTGCCATTGGACACTGGGTCTGGCTCATCCCTCTTAAGGCAGCTGGCTGGAGGAGGAGGAGGAGGAGGTCTCCCTAACTCCTCCACAGCTAATCTTGCAGCTCCAGGGCCCTTTTGCTCATACAGTGCAGAGACATTTATATAATATGCTTTATGAGGGGAATTACCGGGCCTGTACTCTTAGAGAAGAAGGTATAAAGGACAGTAATGAAACACTGCTTCAGGACAGCAGGGGATGCATCACTTCAAAAGAATAGTGCTAGATTTGTGTGCTACTTTCAAATAAGAGAAGAGAAGTTTGAGGTAAACAACTTAACTGTGTTTTATTTAATGTGTCACAGCCTAACGTCTAAATCAGAATGTACCGGAGAAAGTAGTATCTGTGCAAAGAAAGATATTTTGGGCACACTCCTATTCTCGCTGATTCTTCCAGATTTGTTGGCAGGTTGTCTTTTACTGTGCTTTCAGAATCAGTACAAAGTGCAGCCCATCCCCATTCCCCACTCCCACATGAGATGAAAGTTCAGACCACACACTGCACTTCACACTGAAGTAGTTTGTAATCAAAACACTGAGGAGGCATAAATCTGCACCAATGCTGCAATGACGAATAATTAACATTTATCAGGGCAATCATGCCTGTGTAGATAATGGGGCGCTTTAAGAGCTTGAGAAAGTGCAGCCAAGTTTTTTGCAACAGAACAAAGGCAATGATTTTGACAAGGGCTCAAACTGCATTTTCAGCATTGCTTGTATCGCCATACAAACAGTACACGTGCAATTCCTTACAGAGCACACATCTTTGTGTTAACATAATGGACAGGGAAGCCTTTAGAGGCGAAGCTCTGGGACAACACACAGGTTGTGCAGCTTAGTCACTCACTCAAAGTGCTTTTTTTCAACTTATCACAGCCAATGCCCTTCACTCCCACGGCTGACAAAAAAACAACATACCTTATCAGCAGGTCAAGCCTCTGAAAGCAAAGTCCACTATGAAAACATGAGCAGAACAGACTATCTAAGTTTTGTACAGAGCCTCCCATCAGTGTCATGGACCAAATCTTCTACACACAATGTCCATGCATTTGTACAAACTGTTTGTCAGCTCATATGACATTTACTAGGAGATGACGCAATCACAACATGTCAGAAAAACAACTTGTTGCAAGTGTAAACATATTGCATGTGCCAAAGAACAGCCAAGAGATTTTAAAAGACAATGTTTGGCAGCAAGCCAGCAGGGGGTTCAGGCCAATGTCACAAGAACAAACCAAGGAAATTATTAACTAAAGGAAGTATAGTATAAAACAAAATCTAAACCGAGCCAAGTTGAACATTAACAGGCTATATACAGTCATCATTTGTACACTGAGCACTAACCAAACAACTTGACACACCAGGCACTGCAGCATTAAAACTAATTGAAACACACTAAACTTTAGAAATAGGTAACAGATGCCTGTGTTAACCAAAACAGCAACCATATCAACATGTAAGTACATATAGCTTTTAAAATACTAATCTTTACATGTACAGGTTTTTTGTTTGAACTACTTTCAAGCCAATTTATCCTGAATTGCTCCCTCAATACAATACAGCTTTGCACGTTTCTACATTTATTTCGTTAAAAGGGTTTTAGGTTATACATTTTAAAACGTCTTACCTTGTGTATTCTCCTTTAGCCTCCTTCAAAAAGAGGGAAATAATACAGTTAGTAAAAGCACTATAAGAAAATGCAATACGTATTAATTGATTTAACGTAACTGTTATGCTAGTGTTAGCTACCTGAACCATCTGCTACAATGGTAACTTTACACGATAAAACATCAAAACATTTAGTTTTACCAAATGTTAATTTATCTAGTACTGGAAATAACACTAACTAAAAAAACTGGCACATTTAAAAGCACATTTTAATTATACAAGAGACAGTTTCTTAAATAATAGCCCCGACCTAAGAACCCTCAGGAGAGACAACTGTTTTCAAATATTACCAACCGTCTCCATTCATGTTGTGGGTGAGTGACAAACATTTCAGAGCAGAAAGCCTGCGATAAACTCCTTCTTACCTGCAATGCGAATGCGGCTAACTTGAAAACATTTTCACTCTCCACTTCGATGGTCCCCTGTTGTAAAAAATGTTGAAAATGAACGGTGTCTTTTCGTAAAAACCATGCACACACAAAGTGTAGCCCGTCCGAAACACTTGACTTGAAAATCCTCCTGTCCCGTACCTCGTCCCACTGTTACCGACCGAACCACTGCCGCACACACAATACGGTGTGTGTGGAACTATCCCTGAAGTGTGTTTACTGCTGTTCTGCCGCGCCTGAGTTAGCCTAAATTTTCTACAGGCGACAAAACACACACTGGTCCCCAGCAAGACTAGTCGAAGGTCCTGCCTGGAGCTACAGCCCCCTCTGTAAAGTGGTACGGTCCGAAAGCAGGTTCAACAGTCTCCGTCTCCCATGGTGACCAGTCAGCTCTCCCCGCGAAAAAAAAGCTGCACTGCAACGTCTAATCATATGCTGCATTCAAGTGCTCCTCGTACGGTTCCAAATCCACATACAGCAACTACCTTCCTAGAACTGTATCGATATGGCTGGTCACACTTTGTCCTTTATTTGAATTTCGGCCAAGTGACTACACAAGTAACTGTATTACGTTACTTTTCTTACAGTCCGTTATAATATTGTGTGTTACCATACTAAAATATCGTTGTATTATTTCACTTTAAACTATGTTATCCAATTGTTTTGAGGAAACACTTGCTACAAGACTCATGTGAGGATTTACTTTGCTTTAAAAGATACAAAATCTACTTAAATCAATCAAAACAAAAATACCCCACCTTATCCTGATAATAGCCTTAACCTGTAACTTTTCAAAACTCTGTAAGTGTTGAGAAATACTTTTGAAGGAAATACTAACAGTTGCATCAAACAACATATTGCTTGCATAACCGTATGAATCATACGTTTGCCTAAAAGTGTGACACTTCAAACAGCACTTGAACGCAGCACTAAGAGCAACAGCCGTGTGCGTCAAGAGTTTCAAAAAATGTAAATGTTGTGACATTACTGAGACACTTATTTTTTTAATAAACAGCATGGTATGAATCATTTCAATATAAACACAACATAAATATCCAACATATTGATCATCTGACCAGCAGCCCCAAGTTTAAAGAAATCTGTTGCCCATGAATATGTAAATTAAGACTTTTTTTCCTTTCAATTGTTGGATAGACATCTTATCATACTATCAACTAAGGTGTTTAATGATCTGGAACTGAAGGATATACAACATTGAATTACTGGGATATAAACATAAATATATGCTTAAATAATGCTTAAAAACACTTACATTGAACACTAAAGATTTAGCGTTCAGGAAGAAGAGCTCCACTGTTGCGTTGTCTTTCAAGTAGGTTATCTTCTCAATGTAAAATCTGAGAAGAAATGTGTAGGTCAATACATTTAGCATTTAATCAGAGACTTAATAGTAGTGAAAGAGTTTATCAATCACATAAAAAGCATGTGTAAACTGTTGCATCGGTGCCACCTGCTGGTCAGGACATGCCTTGGAGGCCATAAAGCTCTCAACACACAAACCATATTCTTCTTATTGGGCCTCTCCTTTCTTCGGTATAGGCTGTAGTTACTAATAAAGCACAGCAGTATTCAACATTTGGCAAGCTTTTACAGTAAAAGCATTCACCTCACGAGGAATTTGAGTTCCAAAGGGCCCGAAGTCTTGGAGAAGTCATGATCGAGGACTTTACGATCCAGCTGGAGCCAGTTATTCTGGCCCCTGTTCAGGGGAAGAGGAACAAATCATGTGTTGAAATACTGCTATCGTAAAGGCTTCTGTAAAAAAAGGATTGGTCCTTAATCAACCAACCTCTTTCATTTAAAGAAAATGTACTGTATACAAAAACAAACACACACTGCCAAATGTTTTGTCTGTAAAAAGCCTGTAAGAGTAGGAAATGTACTTACGTGTCATCTATGTAGCTCAACCCAAAGTATTCCTTCTCCTTCAGGGTAAAATGTGAAGCCACCAAATCTAACAGCTCACGGGACAACAGCTTGGGCTGTAAAGTTTAGATTAAAAACGAAGACATTCAGTCAAGATTAGAGCTAAAACTAACAATTATCTTTCTAGATTAATTGATGAATCTTATGGTCTACAAATTGTCAGAAAATAGTGATAAATGTCCATCCTATTTTCTCAAAGTCCAAAATGATCCCTTTATATATATGTATCTTGTTTTTCAAGTTAATTTATTCTTGCATTTTACTTGCACTATTGTGTCACCTTGTCTTTTTCTATGACTTGATGTCTTAATTATTGTATTTTGCACTATTGGAAGAGCCTAGGATTTAATATCTTCATTGCCAACAACTACGCTGTATTGTGCATATGAGCATAAAACCTTTGAGCCTTTAAATATTTTGAATCCAAACCCCAAAGATAGTAAGTTTAATATGATATAGAACAGTGAAAAGCAGGGCCTCTTCCTATTTGATGGGCTAAAACAGCACTTTCTCCCATCTTGTATGAAAAATCACTTTAACGATTAATCTGTTATCAAAAAAGTAGATGATTATTTCTTCCGTAATGACTTATCAATTGGTCGACTAATTGATTTAGCTTGAGTGTAGATCATTATTAAACTAAGCGGTGTGTGAGACACTGTGAAACAATGAAAATGACAAAAGGTAGCCTCAATTTGACGAGGGATCGAAGCAAAATAGGAACCACAGGATATTCGATTAGGACTTCTTTACAATAATTAACTACAGACATAATGAGATCCTACAAAATGTCAGCACATGACTATAATCTCACAGGTCTATGCAGCCTAGTTTGTGTGTGAGGAGGCGAGTAGAAAGTGTCCTCTACCTGAACCAGCAGCTCCAGCTTCCTGTCATCGAGGAGGTGAACCTGACACTGACGGCCCTCTGTCATCTGCAGGAGAAAACACATGAGACATGACAACACAGCCACTACACAAACACACTATCTCTCCACCTCTCCACTCAAAGCTGCTCTTCCACCATTTCAGCCCAGGGGATAAAACATTTTTCTCTCGAGTGACTCACCTGAATGTCATGTTTGTCTTTGTGCAGAATGAATAGGTAAAAGGAGCCACCACACTGCAAAATATCAAAGTAATTTGCAAGATGCTCATTTTTATCAGTGTAAAGTGTATAAAAACTAGATATTTCAGCCGTAAATCAGCTCTTTATAGGTGCACCATGGATCATAAAAATACTCTGAGTTCCTCCACACATGCTATTCTCTTTCTCTCCCACACATCCTTCCTCTGCAACAACACCGGTCTAAAGAAAATCCCTGTAATGTCAAATTCCCAAAGACAATGAAGTGCCACTGCATAGTTTAATTGAATTACAGCTGCATTGTCTAAGCTGATGAATGGCTTTAGGATTCATTCTGTTGCACTCAGCAGAACTGCCTAATGCAGGATAAGGTTTACATATTGTGGGGATGGATAATAGTTATATTTCAGTGTGTTAAACTTCTGCCAACGTTTAGTCTCATATTCTGTATTTAAACATTTTGTATTCTGAGGACATGGTGTGTGTATCATCTGCTGGGATGCTGTTTGTAAATGGAATCTCAACTGTTTTGATTGTAAAGAAAGAACTGTAGCTTTACACAGTGTATGTCTTATATAGTGAATGGCTTAAATACAGAGGTCGTGAGAGGTCAAGTTAGAAAAAGAAATCTGTTGATCTTTAATTAAAGGTAGGGTAATTCACTTCAGAAACACTTGTTGTTATATTCCATGGAAAGCTCTTAACATCCCGATAGCAATGAATAAATTAAATGCTTTGACAATAAATACATACAAATATTTCATCTCTGGAAGCCCTGGCGCTGTAAAAAGCACGACCAATCATCTGAGCCGGCCCGGCTAAGCTAACTGGATGGCCTACCTGCCTGTGAGCCTTCCATCTGTGCACAAATTTATCTCGTG